CCCCAGGTGCTGTTTCCATGCTGCAGCAGTGCCGAGCCGCTGACATGAGCAGCCCACGAGCTGAGAGCCCAGAAGCAACTGCAGAGTGGGGCTCGTCCTTTGGTTCAGCCCCCAGGTTTGAAGAGCAGTCTCCAGGTTTGCTCTAGGTGCTGCAGCGGTCGATGAGATCAGCCACCATGACCATGGAACAGGCCAGAGGAGCAGGTTATGGGCTGCCCAGGGCACCCACCACCCACCAGGGTCTGCGAGCAGCCCCAGCGCTGCCAGGCAAACCCACTGCGACTGCCTGGGAGGAGCTGGGTTTTTTGCCAGGCTCTGAAGGCTTCCCATCAAACATCCATGTCTGCACCTGGGGGGAAACCCCCCCAGAGGCACTCTCTGCTGAAGAGATGCTCACAAGCCCTCCCACACAGGAATTCAGTTCTTTGCTGAATCCACAGGGCTTTGCTAGCTGTGGAAAGCCAGCAGTCAAATTTAGCACAGGAACAGCGCTCCAGAGAAGCTGTGGGATCTCTGTCCCTGGGGGTACTTGCAACGCGCTCTGACACAGCCCTGAGCTGCTGCTCTCATCTTGAAGCTTGCCCTGCTTGGAGCAGGCATCGGGCTTGAGACCTCCAGGGGACTTCTCCAGCGGCTGTATCATTCCCAGTACCTGGGACTTCAGTGCTGTCAGCTTAAACCTTTGCTAGAGGTAAACAGAAACCTTCAGCAAGAACCCAGAGCATCAAACACCACGGAGCAGATCCAGGCTCAAGAGTGTCCCACCACCAGCTTTTGCCTGTCCCAGACTTAAGTGAGCCCAAGTGTCTTGTGGGTGTTCAGTTCTCGCGCTCTTTTTTTGCCCAGGGATCTCTGCAAGTGTAGTCACCCAGCTGCTGCAGCTGCAATGCCCAGCACTGATCCCCTGTCCTCTTCCAAAACAAGGAGTTTTCAAGAGCCCAGGGCTTGCTGGCAACTTGCCTTCAGCGGGAAATCATCCCTTGATTTGCTTGTCCAAGTGCTGACAGTTCTGTGTGATCCCACCCTGAGCCCAGAGCAGCCATTCCCATACACCTCTCGTGGGCACTACTGAGCACCGGGATTTCTCTGCTTGTTCTCAGCAATTGCCTCTGCCCAGCCTGTTACCCTCACCTCTGGGGATGGTGGAAAGCCCATTCTACTTTGAGGGGAAACAAAATAATTTTTCAGCTGGGGCTGAAACACTGCAGCTGCGGATGGCTTTGAGTTATGTTATAGACTCAACGGAACTTTTCCCACGTCGATTCAGTTTGAAAAAATCAATGGTCCTGAATCTGTTATACCCAGGGAAGGGTCAACAGCCAGTGCTGCTGTTTGCATTGCAGTCATTTAGAAACCTGAGGCATGTGGGGGGAAGCTTGCTCTAGTATGTAGGACCACGTAAGCTGAGCAAGACAAGCGCTTTGGGAATCACGGGTCTCTGGTGGAGTGGGGGGATGTGTCTGCCCAGGGAAAGGCTTGTCCCAAGTGGTGCCTCTGGGATGTGTGAAGGCCAGCGTGAGCTCTTCAGCCATGCTGCAGTGGGATGAGCTCTGCAGCTGTCATGCAGCATCCGTGAGTGTTAAAACACAAAGAGATGGAGCCCTACCTGGGGGGCGTAGGGATGAGGGGTGAAACAGGCCAGACTTGCAGTCGGAGCTACACGAGTGGGTCCCTGCAGGTCTGGAAAGCAATGCTGGGGTTTTTTCGGGGGGGGAGGGAGGGGGGCATGTTCACAGCTTTCAGGGCTTCTGTAAGTTCGGGCACAGTAGGGTCTGGTCACAAGGACTGGCCGTTCGTTAAGCAGCAGATGGAGATTGTCCAGCTCCAGCTTACTTGATTTCCATGATGCCCGGGGTTGGTACGAAGACTTTGGATGCGGCGTTCGTCGGCTTGAGGGGCGGTAGCAGCCCGGGCTCCCCCGCCGGGGAGA